CACACTACCACCATGCCTCACACACGCCCACACTGCCCACACCTGCATCAAACACGCCACCACTGTCTATAACACCACACACGCCCCAAACACTGCCTCACATGCCTCACACATACCACACACTGCCTCACCACTGCCCCACATGCCCCACACACTGCCCTCACACGCCAACCCCCTGTTCTACACTACCAACATTGCCTACAACTGCCTTCAAATGCTTCTTACATGCCCTTCATGCTGGGAGCATTTTTTTGATTGTTAATAGTCATTTCATTTGGTTCTCAGTCTTTCCACGTGTATTATCGTCTTAATATTGTGATTACTACTGCAAACAATAGTCCCAGTGCTGCATGATACTGTTTATATGAACCATAGTGGAAGACTGGGGATACTCTGGTGTACTGAAAACCCCAGTGGAAGACTGGACGTATCTGGTAGTACTGAACTATAGTGGAAGATGGACGATACTCTGGGAGCTACTGAACCCAGTGAAGACTGGCGTACTCTGGTAGCTACTGAACCCCGGGAAGATGGCGATATCTGGACTCTGAACCCCAGTGGAAAATGGGGCGATACCGGTAGCTACTGAACCCGTGGAAGCTGGACGTACCTTGTAGCTACTGAACCCGTGGAAGAAGGACATACTCTGGTTTCTTGAACCACAGTGGAAGATGGACGTATCGGAGCTACTGAACCACGTGGAAGACGGGGCGTACTCGGTGCTACGAACCACAGGGAAGACCCCCCCCAACCCCCCCCCCCCCCCCAACAACATGGGGAAAACTGGGCCATCCCTTTGGAGCTACTGAAACGGGAAGATGGGGGCATACTTGGAGTATGAACCACAGTGGAAGACGGACGATACTCTGGTACTACTGAACACAGTGGAAGAAATGGCCCATACTCTGGGAGTATGAACAATATGGAAACGGACGTACTCTGGTAGCTACTGAACACAGTGGAAGACTGGACGATACTTGGTGCTACTGAAACTCATGGAAAACTGGGCCATACTTTGGGACTATGAACCCCCAGTGGAAGACTGGACATACTCTGGGAGCTACTGAACCCAAATGGAAATGGAGAACTCGGTAGACTGAACCCCGTGGGAAAAAAACGATACTCTGGTCTATGAAACCCCGTGGGAAAACGGACGTATTGGTGCTATGAACCACAGTGGGAAAACTGGACGATACTCTGGTACACTGAACCCCTGTGGAAAACTAGACGTACTCTGGTAGACTGAATTCAGTGGGAAAATGGGGCGATACTTGGGAGCTAGAACCACAGGGAAGCTAGACGATCTCTGGTTTGTAGAAAACCCCGTGGAAGATGGGATATTGGTAGCTATGAACCCAGTGGAAGACTGGCGAACTCTGGTAGTAGACCCCCTGGAAAAACTGGGGCGATACTCTGTAGTTACTGAACCACAGTGGAAGAGGACGTACTCTGGTAGACGAACCACAGTGGGAAAATTTGGGCGTACTTTGGTAGCTACTGAACCACAGTGGAAGATGGACGTACTCTGGTAGTACGAACCCCGTGGAGACTGGACGATCTTGGTACTACTGAAACCCCAATGGGACTGGACGTACTTTGGGAGCTATGAAACCCGTGGAAATGGGCGATACTCTGGCAGCTACTGAACCAAGGGGAGACTGGGGATACTCTGGTAGTTGAACACAAAAGGGAAAACTGGCGTATCTGGTGTTTCTGAGCCCCCGTGGGGGATGGGGCGATTTCTCTGG